ATCTCTTCAAATGCATCTATTAAAATATAGGGGGAGTTATGTATTAAAGAAATATCAACTATCACCTGCTGCATATCTGAGCAAGAAATGTTTAATAAATGATGGTTGAAAACATGAGTTGTGGTAAGATGTTTGCTTTGTCTGTGGCTATTCTAAGCACTAGACATAATATCCCAGATGCCTGTTGGTAGGGAATGAATATATTTTTTACCTTGTACTGTTACAGAATATGCATGTTGTTTTTATTAGTTAAAGTTCTCATATTGGGGAGGTGCTAATAGGTTTCATGTTGTTTCACTGGAGTGAGACAGACTGATTGGGAAGCCTTACTAAATTAATGGAAATCCATGAAGAGGAAAGTCCTTCAGGGGTCCTCAAGCACATTTCCTCACCACCATGGACAAACATGTAATTATCCTGCTGTCTATGCTGAATGAACAAGTAATTATTGTCATTCCTCTATTAAAGTATGCAAATTTTGGGTTGATAGTGTTTCAGTACACAAATTAATTACTATTATTCAACTCTTCCAAAAGATCTGTTGGTTTTTTTTTAATTTGTTGAAAAAGTTTCAGTAGACTAACAAAACACATAATGTAGTAACAGGCAATGCACGTGGTCAAATATAGAAGAAAGAATACAACATTTGTGTAAGTCTATACTTCTCAGAAGACCTGGCATTAACACTAATTACCTAATCAAAAGATTAGAGCCTTTTTTGCCTCATAAGTACAGAGCACCCACACAATGTCCCGATGTCACTGGGGGTTGTGGGTGCTCAGCAGTAGTTTAAACCAGGCCCTCAAAGTGTTTGAAAAATGAAGTTGCTCGTTATGAAGAGAAGTTTGAGTATGACAGGACAGACACCATCAATGTCCCCTCTAATTTTTTCCCATCCATATGTAGAATACATTTTGTTACATGCGACGAGGCATGTGTGGATGTTGATCACCAGTAGAAACACAAGCTGTTGGTTACGGGCACGCTGCAAATTAGGTGGGTGGCATTTGAATCTCTCCTGAGTAGCGCCCCAAGTGCTCAGCTTACACGGGGCACTGATCACCATATTCTTTGAGGTGTACGCAATAAAAGAAGTTAAATCGGGGTGGGCAAAGGGCCCTCCACAGGCCAGATCCGGCCCACAGTAACCCTGCCACTCCACCACCCCCAGGCCAATTAGGGACTGGGGGTGGGAGAGTGCACGAAGTCTCCTCACGAGAGCATGCAGTGGCTAGAGACACGCTGGATGTTTTAAAACAGTTGGCGTATCTCTAGTTGCCTCATAACTTTGGCAGGGGGTTGAGTTTTGCGTGCTCCCCACCCCCAGGCCAATCAGGGTCTGAGGGCAGGGAGTGTGCGAAGTCTCTTGCATCCTTTCCCCACCCTGCTAGGAGTGCCCAGTGGTTAGAGACATACGCTGGCTGTTTTAAATCTTCTCTTGCAGGGGTGAAGAGATTTGTGCGCTCCCCTGCCCTCGGTCTCTGATTGGCCTGGGAGCAGGGAGAGCACACGAGGTCTCCTCCTTCTAGACACCTAAAGGGAACGCTGGCTGTTTTCAAACAGTTGGTGTTTCTCTCTGGGAGGGGCGGGGGGAAGACTTCTTGTGCTTCCCCACCCCAGGCCAATGGGAAGGGGAGGAGCACAAGAAGTCTCCTGGCCCCTGCCCCTTCTGCCTGAGGCCCTGCCCCTTTTGGGGTGGTCCCCTTTTAAAATTATTGCCCACCCCTTTTAAATCATTGGAATCATAATATATGACAGCTCTTTTATTGGGGCGGTGATGTTTTTTCCAGTGTTAACACCTTTGAGATTATTTTGCCAAAACTGTTCACCTCCTGACTGGCAATGAAGAGGTATTTGTAATGGAAAAGGGCCAAACTAACAAAAGCAGAAATCTGAACTTTACTGAGAGAAGAATTGGTTTGTAGTTATGGCCTGGAAGTGCATTCAGTTCTCAGGATTTTCTGACAGACTGTTCATGTGCCATGGACAAATTGGTTAATCTCTCTGTTCCTTAGTTCCCCATCTGAAAAAAAAAAGGGAATAATACTGTCCCACCTCAATGGTTTTGTTGGGATGATTTGGGAAAAAGTCAGATCTGATGGTGATGGGGAATGTTAGAAGAACGTATAGGTGAGTTCAGCGGCATTCAGATTCAGATCCAATGTTTGTTAGGGCTAGTCTCTAAGCCTGTGGTGTCCAACCAGCTCTGAAGAGGTAGCCGCTATCGCGAACTGGCCACACTCAACTGGCCAAATAGCCACATTGTTCAAGCCAACTAGCTGCACTCAACAGCCACATGTGACTAGTGGCTAGTGCATTGGACATCACGGTTCTAAGCTTTCTAAACAAATTTTAAAAGCAATTTCATCTGTGCAAAATATTTGTAATAGGACACAAAACCACTGAAAACAAACTTGCTTTCTGGTTTTGTTTGAAGCTCAGATATCTAGTCAAGCATGTCATAGAATTTTGCTGAGATTCACAAACTTTTGTTGAATCTGAATCTGCTTGAGGTAACTTGAGATCATACAGCACCATTGAAGGTTTTGTTTTTTTTAATGGATTCAGCATGAAATTTTGAGAAGTAAATCTATATAACCTATTTTTTAAAAATAGTTCTCATAAACCTCTGTGAAGCCAAACTGAAGAGCTGCACATAATTGTAAAAGTACTAAGCATTTTAATTAGAGGAAAAAACTAGTTTCAGGAGAGATAGTAAAACAGAACAAGATCTTTAAGGGGGTAAAAGGTTTGCTTGGTATACTTTTGTGTACCATTCAGTGGCATACTTTTACACGGTGGCTGCATGTTTACTTTAATGACTTTTGTGAAAATGGATAATTCTTAGTCCAATGAGTCTTATGCAAGTAATTCTATTTTCAGGTGTCCTGAACTTTCTTGAATTTGCCACGGTCATGCTTTTGTAGGTTTTTAAGAAGAAGTGTGTTTTAACTACTGCAACTAATCCTTGTTATTTCAAAGGCCTTTAAATTGCTGTAAAGTAAGCAAAGAGAACATTATAGAAACTTTTTGTTCTTATACTTTGTGTCTACACAATACATTTTTTAAAAACTCCTATTAACATTTCGTACTACTTCAATTGTACTGACCCAAATTGTGTGTGTGTGTGTGTGTGTGTGGAGGGGGGGGATATTAATGAACTGCACAAGTATTGTGGAGCAAATATTACTTAGTAGTACCTTCATGTTATCTGAAAACCAGACCACATATCAATGAAACAGAATTACAGTGTACAAAGTTCTTGAATGAAAGAGGAAACATTTATGTTCCAACCACCTTTGTGTACTTTAGTAATCTTTTATGATAAGTTAGTGTAAGGGTATCTGTTACATTGTTTCTCCTGTGAAGTTTTAAAGAGCGTCTAACTTTGCACAGCTAACTTCTAATTTCTAGATGAACTTGTGATTTCACATAAATACCAAAAATGCAGTTTTTTTCTTATCAAAATCATTAAGGATGTGGACATTTTTTGCTTCCCATGTGGGAAAAAATAAACTTCAGTTTAAATATTTTGTTGCAAAAAGTACCTGTCCTTTATAGTGTATAGCAGAAGGTAACATAGTCTTAAGATATGGTCCTTTGCTTCCTTTCAAGTGTAAGATGGGATATGGAGTCAAGCCAGTGTAAATGAGAGGATAATCAGGCCTTGGTCTTTAATGGCCAAACTCCTCTGATATACACTTGTCAGTACCCATCAATGTTGAGTGTGCATCAGAAGGAAGAATTTATTATAGACAAAACAGAACAACCCACCTTTATTTGTGTATTTTAAATAATAGTTTGTTGAGTGCCACAGTTGCTAGTCCAGCATTCTCTGAATGATATTCCTGCTATCTACAGACCAAGTGCAACATAACTGGTGGCAGTAATAGATTATTTCACCTATTGCCCTGATGCCTGAATTCTGACTTTCACTGGATGGTTACAAAAGTAGGAAGACTCAATTCACAAGCTCATTCATTTCTTGATTTTTCTACTGAGACTGCCAGCTTGGTTGCTCAAACATGGACAGCTGCCCAGTGAATTAAGTTGGGGAGTGGAGAGAAATTCAGCATGTCCATCCTATGGGAAATTCTCAAGTTTCAAAAAGTTTCATGAAAAGGAAATTCTTTAAAAAAAAAAAAAAAAAAAAAAAAAGAAATGAATTGTGTAACCATTTTGATCAAAACAATTAAACATTCCAAAACATTCTCCCTCAAAATGAAACATTCCAAAAATGGGTATGTTTCTTTGAAATGACATGAAATGTTTCATTTTGAGCCACTTCCATGTTAAACTTAATTTTCTTCTCAGGGCATTCTCTCATGGAATTTGTACTTTGCCTTAATCTCTCCTATGGGCTAGACTCCCTGGTAAGTCTCTCTCTCTCTCGCTCATATGCTGCACCACACAGAGCTAGACCAGAGGTAGATTTGTTTTGTATTATCAGTGATGTAACCTTCCAGGGCACTCGGCCTATAGGAAAGAATGAAGACCTGACCCACAAAAAAAAGTTGGCCTCCAGGGTTAGTCTCTAATATAATTTATTATATTTACTTGCACCGCTGCAGGTATTGGGCAATCACAGCTCTCGTTGGCTGCAGATGACCATTTGCAGCCAATGGGAGTAGCGTAAAGTGGAACAGGACCAGGACACTGTTTCCTGCCACTCCCATGGGCAGCAAATGGCAATCTGTGGCCAACAAGACCTGAGGTTTCCCAATACCTATGGAGGCTCAGGTAAATAGAGAAGTGGGGGCCTGCCAAGGATTAATCCTGGTGGACTGAATCTGGCCCACTAGCCAGAATTTGCCCATCCCTACATTAGATTGTATCTCAGTGATCACCATTTGGCTTTTCAAAGCCTTCTGTATAAGTTGTCTGGGGGAAAAATAGATTTGCATTTGTTTTGTGTGTTTCAGTTGTGTGTATGTGGTTTTAGATGTCTGGCAACTTTGTATGATTTACCGTAACAATGAAAACACTTATTTATTTTTCAGATGACTACCATTTGCCTCTTGATGTCTTACCGGCTGTGACAGAGAGCACTGGCCCCAGAACAACAAAAGAAGATTTGTACAGAGGGAACAGATCTTTTCACTACTGTGGAATAAATACCATGGAATTGTCAGACAGCGACCGTCCTGTCAGCTTTAGTTCTACGTCCTCCTCTGTCTCCTCCAGGGATAGCCACTGTTCCTTTGGAAGCAGAATGACCTTAGTTTCGAACAGTCATTTGGGTTTGTTTAATCAGGATAAGGAAGCAGGCGCCATAAAACTAGAACTGATTCCAGCCAGCCGATTTTCCAGCAAGCCGCTACAAAGAAATAATCCCACAGAGCAACAGAACACCAAGGAAAGCCTTGAAAAAAGGCCAGATATGCCACGGAAAGCAGAATCTAAGGGAACAAACAAAAACTGTGCCATGTCCCTGCTCACAGAGCCCACAAGTCCAAAGCTCCTCTATGTTGACAGAGTTGTCCAAGAGATTCTGGAGACTGAGAGAACATATGTGCAGGATTTGAAGAGCATTGTGAAGGTATGAGGCTTGGTTAGAACTGCCTAATTTGATAAATTGTATAACACAAAGAGTTTTACAAATGAGATGCACAAAGAAATGGACCCACAAAATATGTGATCTTATAACTGGGGTATATAAACTAGGCAGTATTCCATGCAGCACTGGAAACATGCTACAACCAGCATATAAACTTTCTAAAACATTTGTGTAAATGTATTCAGAGTTGTAGCCTGTTGATCCCAGAGTACGAAAGACAATGGGAAGTGAGCAGTGGGGGCAAGATAATATTTTAATAGGCCAGTTGCTGTTGGTGAGAGACAAGCATTTGAGCTTCTACAGAGCTTTTCTTCTTTATAAATCAACACATGCAACACTGTAATTCCTGTTTTGTGTGTGTAGATCTTTGGTAGGTTAACATAAATTGCTGCTCATTTTAATTAACTAGTAGTAAAAAACAACAACAAAAAAGCCCCTCCTCTATTTAATATTTTTAACCTTTGGCTTCTTATTTAGGTTACCAATGTATTCAGTTTCTTGTTGGCTGTTTCCATTAGGAAGAAAAACTGATGGTGGAGTCTAGTAGTTATTTGATGCTACTCTATTTATTTACAAACTGTGTACTGTACACAAAGTCCTGTTTCCCTGAGCATAGTAAGCATTATACAAGAGGAGATAGGCATGGAGCAG